GATCCGTTGCCGGACACGGAAAAAGACAAAAAAAAAAAAGAAGTGAGCTTGAGGGCCGGCCTGGTGGTGCACTGGATAAGTGCCCCCCTTGGGAAGCGCGGCGGCGCTCCCGCCGAGGGTTCGGATCCCACATACAGACCGGTTCCCGCTCACTGGCTGAGCGAGGCGTGGGGCAACACCAAGGGTTGCGATCCCGTTGCCGGTCCTGGTCCGGTACGGGGGCGACACTGAGGGTTGTGATCCGTTGCCGGACACGGAAAAAAAAAAAAAAAAAAAAAAGCAGGCGATATTGGGCCGGCCCGGTGGCGCACTGCGCTAGTGCGCCGCTTGTAAAGTGTGGCGGCGCTCCCGCCGAGGGTTCGGATCCCACATACAGACCGGTTCCCGCTCACTGGCTGAGCGAGGCGCGGGAGCAACACCGAGGGTTGCGATCCCGTTGCCGGTCCCCGGTCCGGTACGGGGGCAACACTGAGGGTTGCGATCCGTTGCCGGACACGGAAAAAGACAAAAAAAAAAAAGAAGCAGAATACCTTATTGGTTAGAGTGTGGACTCTGGAGCCAGACTGCCTGGGTTCAAATCCTATACCTGTAACTTGCTCACTTACTAGCTATGTGCCTTGGGCAAATTATTAACTTCATGTGTCAGTTTCCTTGTCTATCAAGTGGAAATGATAATAATAGTATATATGGTTTATATAAGAATTAAATAAGTTGACACATTGGAAGTGCTTAGAATAGTGCCTGGCCCAGGGGAAGCCTATGTCAGCCTTTTCTGTTACTCTTTAGAGTCCAGAGCCAAGCAGACAAGCCAAGGTTAGTAAACTAATAGAGCAAAACCAAAATGGTGGTGTCAAGATAAGGAGTTCAGAGCCAGGGAGCTCGTGAGTCAAAGAAGTGGTGGGGTGACAGGCGAGCTCCGGGGCGACTGAGGCAGATGCCTATGGTGGGGCCTCTTGCCCACCCTGGCACATTTCCCTGTGTGATGGAGAGTTGCACCAGCTCTGTGTAATGCGAGGTGTGCTAGGCGGATCCCTTTACACAGAGGGTCTCCATGATCTGAAAGGAAAGTCCAAAAGCCATCTCATACATCCCTGGCCTCCCAGTTTTTACCTGATGCAGTAAAGTGAACAGGACAATGATCTCGTGCTTTTAATGGTCTATTGCAAAGGAGAAATGTCCCCAGGTGACCACGCCAAGATTTCCCACCTGGAAATATTTTCAAGTAAGTGCACAGGTGCCACTGTGTACTAACCTGCTCCAAAGAGGCCCAGTTGAGGCCACTTTGTAGAATGACAGCAGTGATCTGCCAGTGCCTTCCACTGAAAGAACTTGGAGACAGGACTGGGCTGTTCAGTTTGGTGGGGGGAAACCTGCTCCAAAGAGGCCCAGTTGAGGCCACTTTGTAGAATGACAGCAGTGATCCGCCAGTGCCTTCCACTGAAAGAACTTGGAGACAGGACTGGGCTGTTCAGTTTGGTGGGGGGACGGTGGGCAGGGCTGCCTTACCTATCCTCCAGGTTCACCTTCGGTGCATAGTTGCATCGTGTGAGTCCATCCCTGGGCGCTCACTCGACATAATGTCTTGTCTTTGCAGCTGAGGACTGCAGACAGCTCATCAAGTTGCCCAAGGTGAAATGCTTGCGCAATAATGAGCGGCAAGGTAGGTTGGTGCTGCTGGGCAGGGGCCTTGGGTCTGAGCGAGGGGGCTGGGGGAGGGAGGGGGCGCGGTGGCTCCTCCGTGGTCTTGCTGGACGATGGAGGGACAGTGGCACCATTTGGTCATTTGTCCCTGACTGCAGGTCTGGTCCGGTCCCGGATTCGGGGAGCTGATGTTGCCCAGGGCACCACTCTGACTTTCCTCGACAGCCACTGTGAGGTGAATAGGGACTGGCTCCAGCCCCTATTGCATAGGGTCAAAGAGGTGAGTGAGGCTGAGAAGCAGAGCTGGGCTTCATGCCCTGACTTCTTCCAGGCTCTCTAAAGCTCATAATTTCACATGTGCCCCTCAGTTCCTCCGGGGGGTGGGTGGGACAAATTCTGTCCCATTTTATAGATGAAGGCACCAAGGTCACATGGCAGTCATGGTGGAGCAGCCTGGCATCCCAGCAGGCCTGCAGCAGGGGCTGCCGGAAGCTGGAACATGACACCTGCAGCTTCCTGGACAAGAGAGAACTGCCCAGAACTGTCTCTGCCTGACAGAAAGGGAGCCTTTGGGAGTGCCTCTTGTGGGAAGGAGGCAGCTGAATTTGTCACCCACTTCCTGAGGCCTCTGTCTTACTTCCACGCAGGCATCACCCTCACACAAAGTCTTTACGCCAAGCAGGCAGGCTGGATGCTAAGAAACCCGAATTCCTTGCCTCTGTTTGCCTTTTAAATTACTCTGGAATTCTGTATGCTGCTTTTTTGCATGTCTCAGTTACTCCACTGGAAAGTGAAAAGAAATTAATTTTTCCCTTCATTGTTTTATATTCCGTGAGGCCCACCCACTCCCCTGCTGATCTACAGAATGCACGCCTGTCGTAGATGTCAGCATCACTGACTGGCGTCTTACTGTTCATTATTCTTCCTGAGTTACTGACTCGTATGGCTGTCCGTGAAGCAGAAGCTCAGGTGTTTTTAACATACCCATTTCACAGATGAGGAGCCAGTCTCAGGAAATATATGACTTGGCCTGATGTTCCTTAGCTGGTACCATCTGTGCCAGAATCCTCGATGTTGCCTCCATGGGGTCTTCCCGGGGCTGGAGTTCTTCCTTCTCACCCTGTGTGGCAGCTACTCACCTCCTCCCTGCATGATGACAGTGCTAGGGAGATGAAAGAACTGAGCTGTGTATGTTACTCGGAGGAGAACTAGGGAATTTTTACCAACATGGTTCATTCCAGTGAGAGAACCTTGGCAGGTTTACAAAATTCTCACACTTGGGCCTAGACGTTAAAGCCCCTTGGTGACCGTTTTCCCTGAGACTGTGAGGATCCAGCCACTTACTGTTGTTTAGAAAATTCGTCCCTTCGACATAATCCAGGCGAAGAGTTCTGGACTGAGAAATATTAAGGCATGAAGAGATCATTCAATTGAGGGGCTTCTCCTGGCACTGAAGGTCCTTGCAAATGCGCCCCTCCCTCTTTGCTTACATCTGTAGCCCCAGCACATCTGGGCTGCTCCTTGTCCCTGAAAGTGCCCCCAACGTTCCCACTGCTCCATCTCTTCAAAGCCCTTCTTGTCCCTGGATGCCCTTCCCGTCCTCTCCACAAACCCACTTGCTCTTCAGGACCTCACCCACGTCTCCCCTCCTCCAGGAAGCCTCTCCTGACCGCACAGCCAGCAAGGATCACTCCTGCCAATAATTGCTCACTGGGCCCACCACTTCCTCTTCTGGGCTTAGTTCTGTCTCCCCCAAGAGATTATAAACCCAGTGGGGCAACAGTCACCTCCTCATGGCCACCAGCCTGATGTAGAGTAGGTACTCAGTATTCAGAAATTATCATGAAACACCAGATGCCTGATGCGATGGGGAGGAGAGAGTAGAAAGCAGGCTCGCTTCCTGCCCCGGATCTAATTAACAGACATTTATTGAGCACCTATTTTGGGCAGATCCGAAGGGTTGAAACTGGCCATGTAAAAGGAATCCACACTTTGAATATGCCACTTAGTAAAGTCCACTGTGGTTCCTGTGTCCTGATGCTGCCCTGGTTTGCAGATGACCTCCAGGGAAGGGAAGCAGAGTGAGCAACCACAGGGAGAAGTGACATGAAAGCTCTAGTCGCAAGGACGCCCTTTGTGAGAAAGAAACATGGAAAACACGTGGACTCTTCCGGGATACTGAAATGGGGAAATTCCACTCCTCACCTTTACTGTCCCACAGAGGCTTTTCTGCCTGTGCATTGCTGCCGCTGCCCCAGGGCCGGCTAAGTCTTCCTTCCACTATTCTTGCCCGGAGATAAAAAGAAAGTGGTGTGTTAACAACAACTGAAGGATGGTCCCAGAATCAGACTAAGGTTAGAGAATCCTGGAGCACTTAGTTGGGGAAAAAAGAGGTGGGGGTTGGAGACAGTGTCTCTCTTACAGAGGATTTTATACAGAAGAGACAAGGTGTTCCCTGTGTAAACTATGGCCATATTAAAAAGAAGTGAATTTGAAACCCAGGAATGTGGTGTAATGGAAAACCTCTTGGCAGGGGAGCAGAGGAAGGGGACAGAGAAGGCTGACACCTCTCGTATTCCCTGACAAGAGTAATCCACGGTCATCATAGACATTTTGGAAAATATGGAAGAGTGGAATGAAAACTAATCAACCAGAATTCTACCAGGCAAAGACATGCACTGTTTCCACCTGTTTCCATCTTTTTCTCTTTGCAGAAAGTATCTTTTCTCATAGTTGTAATCATACCGTACTTATACAATTTTGTATTCTGCTTTTTTTCCCTTATACATTATACACAAGCATTTTCCGAGCAGTGTTTCTAAGGTAAGTTGCCTTGCCCAGAAAGGCAGATGTGTTGTAGCATACTCATAACAGTCCTGAAGTTCATCTCCGAGGAAGAAATGCAGGCTGCGGTCCAGGGCAGGGTTCAGCGCCTGCCCAGCATGGCGGTGCCCTCTCCTCTGTCTCACTCCTCCGTGGCCTCCTGCCCCCACCCCTTCCCCCCTTCCAGGTTGCTGGCCACGCCCCCTGGAGCTGAAGTTCATGGGCCCAGGCTCTCAGATGTTGGGGCTGCTGGGCCAAGGATGGTCAGGGCTCAGACCTGATCCCAGGAGCTCTCTATCCAGAGTTGTGCCAGGCGGACTTTGTCCCTGCAGGGAGCCTTAGCTTTCCATGGACAGCCTTAATGAATTGTCAAAGCCTTTTCCATCCCAGTGGCTCCAAGTGCACCTCAGAAGCCCTCTCTGAAAAATGCTCTTCTTTCTACATTTGTGGCCTGCTAGTCAGGTGAAGCTTTCGTCTCCTTCCTGAATGTGAGTGATGCCTGCCTGCCGCCAACTGCTCCTGCTCTGGGAGCAGTTCTGCTCCAAGACTGAGCTCAGCCTCCCAGGCTAAGGTCCTCGGTCCCCACCAATGTCTGAGCTAAGGCTTTTCAAGCAAAGAGATTAGTCAGACACTCCCAGGAGCTGTGGTCCAGCTCTGCCCCTCACAGGGTGGCAGTGGCCTCTGCGGGCTACAGAGGTTTTCACTAAGACCCTTACTCTTCTGATGTCATGGACTGGTTCCTCTGAGACAGACCCTCGGGGACAAGGAGTGTGGGCGTTTGTCTGCATGTGTTTCCATGTATCTTTGTGTGTCTTGTCTCAGAGTAGAACGTGATTTGATCTTGTGAGTGGAAGTGGAAATTTAAGCTGTAATTGGAGTTTGGGATTTTCAAAAATAGGAAGAGATAAGAAAGAGGCTGGGCTCGAGCTGTCATAAGCTGTCCTCAGCTGGTGTTTTCCACATTGAAAACCTCCCCAATTGTCCTCCTCTTCCCTTTAATTACATGATGATAACTTGCAACAAGCACCAAGATTTTTGTTTTTTTTTTTCTCCAACATAGGCTTCTTTTTTTCTCCTCTTTATCTACATATTTCTTTAGCAGGAAAAAAGATTTTAAGAAATCTTAATCCCTGTAGCATTTGGTGAATTTATATAAATAATAGCTTACATATTCTTTGTAGACTTCTCACATGCTTTCCTCTCTTGTTCCTCACAAAAGCGCGGTTAGAGAGGCAGGATAGTTCTGCAAATAATAATTTGTCCTCACTTTATAGAGGAAGAAAGAGTCCCCCAGAGTGTGCTGATCTGCTTAAGGTCACACGTATTCTAGATGGCAGAAACAGAATGGGCACCCAGGGGTCCTGTCAACTTGTCCTTGTTCCACAGTGTCACCTCCTGCTCCCCACTCCCCCCTCCAGGCCAGCTTAGAGGTCCCCAGGCTGTGTGTCTACACCCTGCATTGCAATCGTCTACTCGTCTGTCCTCACCTTTCCTAGACTGTGAAGTCTCATTCATCTTTGTACCTGCCACACTTCCTAAACCATGGCAGGTGGTTGACTACACAAGTGAGCATCTCCAAGAGTTATTTTGATTGCCTCTTCACGATGTGGTTTTAATTACATGAGTCAGTGGAGAAACGAGACGGGTGACAGCCTCTGCAATGGACAGCCACTGGCTGGTGCATTCAGCCTCTGTCATTGCTCCCAGGGAGGGCCAGTGGGAGTGGGGTAGGGGAGGGGAAAAGAGGGGGTGGTCCAGGATCTGCCAGGGACTCCACCAGCTACCTGCTTGAGCCTAAGCATGGACCTGGCTTTAGAGATACAGCCTTCTGGGGCACACAGGCAGGGGCCTCTGGTGAGTCTGGGTATTTTTATTGAGAGTCCCTCTGACCCTGAGCCTGCAGGAGGGAGGCCATCTTTCCATCTGTAATCGCCACCTGCGTGCTGTAGCTCCAGCAGTGTCCTCGGAGGAAGTGAATACACACCCCTTTCAGCCAGTGTCTATTGAACACCTGCTGCCCACCAGGCTCTGGGCTGGGCCTGAGGGATGCATAGTGGAGTGGATATTGACCCCCCAGGTCACTCAGAGTTTCGAGTCCTCATTTTGATGGCTCATTTATAAAGCCTCCTGTAGCCCCTTTTCAAGGTCACGGCTCCACATAGCACTTGTCCCAACATCCTTCACTGCCTGTCTGGTCTCCGTGACTCAGCCAAGCAGACCCCACAGCCATTTTGTGACAGGAATAATAGGACAGAAACCCTCAGAACTTTTAGGGAGAGTGCACCAGAGCCTGTTGCAGCTCTGGAGGCAGAGCCCGTAAGTGGCTTCTGGGGAAATCTGTGGCAAAGTAAGCGACCAGCATTCCATTTTGCATTTTGGGTTTTTTAATATTGAGGAAATACATTTTTAAAACATCAAAACAAAACTGGATTGCAGTTCAGGCGTCCCCAAGACCACCCTCAGATTTAGAACTCAGCAAAGCTGTTACAATCATGGTCACAGTTTACTCGAGTGAAAGGATACAGATTAAAATCTGCAATGGGATAAGCTGCATTGGGGAGAGTTCCAGGCACATGCTTCCACGTGTCCTCCCCCAGGGGTTACACGGACAGCACTCGCCTCTCCCAGTGAGGATGTGTGGCAACAAGCATGGCATCCTGGCAGCCAGGGAAGCTCGCCTGAACCTCGGCATTAAAATCTGCAATGGGATAAGCTGCATTGGGGAGAGTTCCAGGCACATGCTTCCACGGGTCCTCCCCCAGGGGTTACACGGACAGCACTCGCCTCTCCCAGCGAGGATGTGTGGCAACAAGCATGGCATCCTGGCAGCCAGGGAAGCTCGCCTGAACCTCGGCATCCAGGGAGGCCAGTCACATAGACATGGATGACTACGCTGCTGGTCACCATGCCCCTCCAGAAATCAAATTGAATTGGTTCCATGTGGCACAAAGCCCTCACCACAAAACACATTGTTAGCACAGACTATCTGGTGTAGCCTAAGGCTCCCGTGTACACGCTGCTGGTCACCATGCCCCTCCAGAAATCAAATTGAATTGGTTCCATGTGGCACAAGGCCCTCACCACAAAACACATTGTTAGCACAGACTATCTGGTGTAGCCTAAGGCTCCCGTGTAAACAAAGACACTCTTCTAGGCAGGACATTCCAAGGGCTTAGAGGTACCTCTTAACAGCTGGGCAAAGGCCAAACACATCTCTGGGCAAGGTTAATCCTTTACTGCACGAGGGTGGACAGAAGGATTTAGTGCAGTTGCAGGGGCCCCAAAACTCAGCAAGCAAAGGTGAAATGGAACTTTGTCAGATTCACAGAAGGAGTCTTTGAACTCCTGAGGACATTTTGGAATTCAAGTGATGCGTTTGGGCGTGTGTAGGTATTTGTGTGGATGGGGATGTGTGTGCATGCAGAGTGTATCTACACATGGACACACTGACAGTGGCCCAAGAAGAGCCCCAGAGGAACTGTGGCAGCTGGGCAGGTGCAGAGCTGACTGCGAATGAAGCATCTGTGACACCCCAGAGGTAAAAGCAATGCATTGAAAATGAGCATTTCTTTCCATGTGGACCAGTTGGCTTTCAGAGGCACCTTGTTACTGTCAGAATGAGTCACATGTGGGACGCTGAGAGCCAAATTAACTCTGCAAACTTAAAATCAGGTACTCAGTGAATCTGGAGCTTAAAATAAGAAGACAACCTCATTTGGGGGAAAGATTGAACCAGGAAATTAAATGGCTTCAAGGAGAAACAGAGGTTCCTGCCTGTGCTGGCCAAGGTGTGGTTGGTGCAGAGGACAGGAAAATCAGTCCTGCCTGGTTCCCAAAGACCTGCTGGCTCCTCCTGCTGCCTGATTCCCATTTAGCTAGCCAAGAGTTTCTGTGTTCAAGAAGTGTGTACCTTACCTTAGAGGCAATTGGAGATTTGAGCAGTGAGTGGCAGAGTCGGATTTGCATATGGGAAAGACAGCTTTGGCAGCCAGGTGTAGAACGGAGAGGATGAGATGGGTGGGGTGGGGCTTAGGAGGCCACTGTAGTGCTCCAGGCACCAGGGGATGGAGAAGAGGCAGGATGGATCTGGAAGAGCAGTTTTAGAGTTAGAACGAGCAGAACTTGATCTGGTTGTTGGGCAGGATGAAGCTTGTTCATTTAGTACTGGGAGAGGGGGTTATGTGATGACCTGTTAACAGAAATAGGGAACTTAGAGAAAGGAGCATGTTTGGGTAGAAGATGATGGAGCAACCATCTGAAGGACTAAGTGAAAGCCACATGAACATGGCCAATGGCATATTGGATCTGAGTCTGGACACTAGGAAGGAAGTTGGGGCTGGAGGTACAGATTTGTGAGCTTGTCTACAGGAGCCCACTGAATTTAGGAATCTCTGGAGATGCTATTCATCAACTTGTCCCTGAGTCGTAGGCCTAGAATAAAAGTATGTGGGAAGTTTAAGAGGTGTCCACTGTGGGTGTGTGGCTTTGCTTCTTGGGATGGGACCTCAGGCCTGGGATCACTTTCCCAGCTGACTGTATCCTTTATTTTCCAGGGTCCCACTGATGGTGAATGGCTTCTGGAGCCCCCTTTCTCCCTAATGTCCCCCTTTCTCAGTGCGCAGCACTCCCCAGGCAGCCTCAACTCTGTCTCACTGTTCTTAGCTGGCCATGGTAGCTGAGGGGGCCCTTCAGTTGATAAAAGGCTTCCAGTATTTCAGGCATCAGAACTAGAGGTCACTGCATCTGGTGCCCTATTTTATGATGATAAAATTGATATCCAGAGATAAAAGTACTTGGTCAAGGCTTTGCCCCTGCCACGCTCCCTGATCCCCAGCCAGGCCCCTTGGTGACAACTGAGCGCGGGGTCTGTTGTTTTCCAGGACTACACGCGGGTGGTGTGTCCTGTCATCGACATCATTAACCTGGACACCTTCCACTACATCGAGTCCGCCTCGGAGCTCAGAGGGGGTGAGTGTGGCCAATGCCTTCTCCCCGGCAAGGACTTTCTTTTCCTCCTAGTCATTGCTTTAAAGGGGCCAGAGTGAGGGAAGATCTCTCAGTGGTTTGTCTGCAGCATCCAGCCCTGTGTGCTGTAATGTAATCACTCTCCAGGTTGGCTCTGATCACTGGGACTGTGAATGGAAGGTTGGGGGAGTAGGCAGGATGCTGCCAGTCCCTAGAGCCCCAGCTCTCAGACAGGGCTAACCTGGAAGCAAGGATCCCCATTCCCACCCCAAGACCCACTTTCAGGTGCTTCAGGCAATCGAGAGGCCTCTCACAACCCTCTTGCTGACACCTTCACGCTGTCCATCTTGCCGCCTGTGGGCCCTACCCCTGGACCCTCTGTTCCCTAACTCCACCCGCAGAGAAGGTTCAGAGAGGCAGCAGGAGGTGGACAGAGAGAAGGAAGCCGTGAGAGGGAATTGCTGCCAGCCGTGCTGCTGAGCAGCCCAGGTGAGACCTGCTGTCCCTGGGCCCAGCTTCCCTGGGAACTGCATGTGTTCATGAACTTCTGGAAAAGGTGCAGAATGAGCAAGCTCTGCAGGTGGCAAGGTGCTTCAAAAAGTTCCCAGAAAGATTTGTATTATCTTTCAATTCTGTATTTCCATGAACTTTCTGAAGTACCCTTGTACTTCTGAGAGACCCAGTCAGTTGGCGGGTGCTGTGTTTCAGGGTTTGACTGGAGCCTCCACTTCCAGTGGGAGCAGCTCTCCCCGGAGCAGAAGGCTTGGCGCCTGGACCCCACGGAACCCATTAGGTAAGTAGCAAGGGGCAGGGCAGGGTGGGGTGTGGTGGATTCATTGCCACGTGGTCCTTCCGCTGTCACGTGGTGTGGAGAGGCAGCTCATATTGGATGCTCAAAGGATTGGGCAGAGACAGAAGAAAACCCTGTGCCAGGCCATCTCCACTCTTGCCCTTATTTTAGGAGCTTTCCGTCTTCGGGGAGACTTCTTTCTAAGGGGATGGGGCCTGCGGGAGCCCAGTGTTGTCCACTCGTATGCATGTTGGGATGTACTCATGCTTCCTGCTAACCTTGGGGATCCAAGATGGTCCCCTGGTGAGGGAAAAGATGGTCCCTTGGGCCAAGAGCAGAGCGCCCAAGTCTTGTATGTCAGGATTCAGCCCAGGAAGGTTGAGGAAGTGGAGGCTGATATCAAGGCATAGCCATTGCTACGTATTAATAAGCACATCTGCTCCATTCTGTGCGAGAACATGACAGTGGCGTGGACTCTTAAGTCTTGTATGTCAGGATTCAGCCCAGGAAGGTTGAGGAAGTGGAGGCTGATATCAAGGCATAGCCATTACTACGTATTAATAAGCACATCTGCTCCATTCTGTGCGAGAACATGACAGTGGCGTGGACTCTGGGCTGCTTTACTGTGCGGTGGATGGTTCTGTTCTGACCCAAATTCCTCTTCCAAGCTCCATTGTAACCTACGGTATGTGATGGCAAGGTGTCTGCCTGGGCTTCAGGGCCCATGCGGGGGTTTGGCGTAGACTAGAGCGTAGTGGTCCACCCCATGGGGAGTCTGTGGTCTCCGCGCCGGGTATACGGCCTTGATGTACTTCTAGGACTGGATGGTAAACACGCCCCGGGCCGCTTGGGCTTGGGAATCTCCAGGCTAAACCGAGTCTGCCTCAGCTGCAGTGACAGGAGGATAAGAAGTACTTGAAGAACTGCAGAGAAGGCTACTGGAGTGAGGTTTCTCAGTCCAGTGACTTAGGGATGCCCAGGACAATTGAAGGACATCTCTGTGTCTCTGGTGCCTGCCACACAGAAAAAAATTTATTATTTCTGTTGAACTGACTTAAGTCAAACTGAGGACCAGACAGGATATGAAGAGCTGAAAGGACACTCCAGACTGGTAGCAGGGACCCTGAGATCTGTGCCATAGGGACCTCTGTCTCCTCTCCCTGCCGCCCTCCTCCCTTCTCCAGCTGTCCCCATCTGGAGTGATGCCAAGAGGCAGACGAGTCCCATGGCGCCTGGACAATGCCCTTTATTTCTAGAGAGGGAGGAGCGGTTGGTGCCAGGCCAGCCCCGTGCAGTGCGCATCAGCCCCTCAGTGACTCTGGCAGTGCCGCTTCCTTAGGGCTCACCCACCCACCCCAGACGTTGACTCTTACTGCCGTCGTCCTAGTCCTTACAGGGTTATTTGCTTGGGCTCTGCCACCTTGCCTCCTTCCTCTTCACCCCTTTCCTTTCCAGACAGCTGCTTCGGCATCTCTGT